GCGGGGTCACACGTAGGTGGGGAACGTTACCCTAAATTTTCAGCTTCCTAGCTTTTGTGGTTCCCGGATTGAAAGTTGCGGACAAGTTGCTGCGGACACACACACACACAGACAACCCCGTAACAATATGCGTTTTGTACTGCTGTTACAAACGCATAATAAAAAGCAATTCGAGAACTTCGTCCATTAACAGATTCATCATTATGAAAATTTGGCACACTTCTTTCGTGGTGGTAAGGGTGCTTGGAAAAGCTCTTTGCTCAAGCCTCGTACATAGCTCCAGCTTACGTCCCACTATTTTACCTAGTACATGGCGAATGCTTAAGGCAATACAAAGGATTTCTAGGCTGCCCCATTTTAATAAGTTGTTTTTTGCCATAACGACGGGGCAATACACCCCAACAGAAGAAAAATGTTGAGTTGCGACGAGAATGAGAAACAACAGACGAGAATATTGGATTACTAAACAGCACCGACGCAACCTTAACATAGGACAGGAAAGCTCGACAATGTGGCGAAAAGATTCATTTGAACATCTATCTAGCAGAGAACGAAAAATCTCCAAGACAGAGAACGAAGAATTTGTCATATCAGTGATGCAACGATGAATCAACATTTGATCAAACTATCAAGATATTATTTTTCTTCAAAATTTTTTGGTTTTTCTGAAAATTCGTAATGATACAGCTCAAAAAACTATAGCTTCCCAGACTTTATTCCTACATTTAAACGCCTATACGAAGTGCCGGATGCGATGAGCTCAGAAAGCAAAACGGAAAAATCGCTGGCTATGCTTTCAGCGAGAAAGCGTGCGCCGAAAACAAAGCAACAAAATCTAATCAAAACATCCATGTATTTCCCGCAACGTTTATGAATTGATGGAATTTTGGCCTAGCAATCCAATGTTACTTAGCTTCATTGAAGACTGTACGGGTTCTACCTACTGCCAGTGCCTTTCAGCAGTACCTGATTTCAAATTTGATAAAATGGGCTAGCGAAAATAGAGCAACATGCACACACACACACACACACACACATGCACACACACATACACACACAAACACACACACACCTAAAGAAACATGTACAAATTAACGTTAACTATAATTAGACATTAGGCACCGCAAACTTGCCATGGGAGAGATTACGTAACTTTGTTAGTACTCCTCCAACAAGTTCGGATGAAGACTGCGCTAATCGTACACAGTGTAAAAATGCCAACCTCATAATCCAAAACAGTCTTTGGAAAAAATCAGTTTTGGGAATGAAAACCTACGATTGCCTTTAGCTAATCAAGTAGCCTTCGGGGAAACATACTAGGAAAAATATAATGTTTTTATAACTTTTGAAAAAAAATACCGCGATTTCTAATTTTAGGACGCCAGATCAGAGCATAAACAGTTTAAAAAAATACAGTTTTCTAAATAAAAATCGAGTTCTCTCTGCAGTAAATGCAGTCTTCAAGCATAACCTCACATTGAAAGTCCGAGTGATGCAGATGATGGATTTCCAAGCAAAAAAATCGATGAATATTTCCGGTTTTAAAGACGGGTATGAAAAAGGGCGGCGTGAAGTGGCGCCGCTTAAAATAAATTTGAAAATACAAGAAAGCACAATGAAAAAAAAAAAACCGTTATTAGACAGGTA